TTACTGTAATAAAGCTGTGACAGTGATCTTGGGTCAATCATTAAGTTCAAATTAAATCAACTAGTCCAGTTTGTCTGAGGAGAGAGAAAAAAATACAAATCAGATCTGACACATGCATCATAAAATAACCATTAGCTGTTACCTGCGATTTGAAGTGACAGTATATCAATAATGTCACTTGGAAAATGGGACAGGTTTGTTGTTGTCTTTAAATCACCCGAAACTCCATGCAGCAGAGGAGTATGCAGGTACTGGAAATGCATTAAGGCTTGATGGTAATGGCCATGGTGGAAGCAGTGGGACACAAGAGAAGCAGGGGAGAACATCATTCACTCCTCACTTGGTCACAGACTTCTAACGTCTGGCTTCGTAACAAGGCACAAACTCATCATTAAATTTTCTTTTTTAACAATTAGCAAAAATATTTCCAAAATATTTTCCCCATTCAGCCTATTTCTCATTATCTTACAATTATTCAGTAGACTAAAAGATGTGCATCTGTGTTAGCCCAAACGATTGCAATATAGAATAAAATGCATGTATATTGGAAAGATGTTAAAATATTCATTTTACTGGACTATTTAATCCACGAGGCCTTTTGATCACTCACCATGCAAACAGCCTCATTCAAAGATACATAAGCACACATTCAAACTATGCAAACAACCACCCCCTTTCCTTACTGATGGGGCATTTGTGTACAATCACACTTAATGTTGCATATGAATGGGCCTCTTAATGAATGGGACATGCATAAGGTCTCTGCCAGCTTTGAGGGCTGAGAGCGGAGCATGTGTCCTTTCTGCTGTTTGTCATGGAAGCATGTGGAGGCTATAGTGTGCCCATCTGTTCCCCCGACACACACACTCCTCAGCCACCTAATTTCTGCCATGCGTCGGTGTAACAGGCGAGCATTGTGGCAACAAGTGTCTCTACATTACCACGCTTGCCAGCTCCCCTCACTTGGCAGTGAGCCCGCTCAGCTGCCCTGCCCTCTTGTGAGAAAAAGGCTTGATTGTGCCAGAGGGAGAGAGCCGAGGGGGCCCGACCGGGAGGAGGAACGAGGAGGGGGACGGATTTGATTTACATACTCCAGCTTATGTGGCACTCATCTGATTTTAAACAGCTCCAAAGCAATTAAGGGTCATTAATCCTTTTGTTTGTTTGTTTTTTTTTTTTTTTTTTCTCCCAGAGGCATGATGCTGCAGCAGCAGTATCTGAGGCACAGTGCCACCTGTGAGGGCTCCATGTGGGAATGTCAGCTCCACACAGGGTCTTTCTCTCAGCCTTCGTTCCCATTCATGCCTACTGACACAGCTGTGCTCTGTGTGTAAACAAACACAGCACCAGCTTGGCACTGCAAGGGAAGGTACTTTGGCAAAGACCCAGATCTGGAGTGTGCAGCTGGTGATGGCGTGCAGGGGCCACGGGCTGCTTATCCTAATTGTTCTAATTATGACAACAGTTTCTTTCATTTGATATAATCTGCAGAATTGAAGCACTTAATTAAATTTGTATCAGGGCAAGGCAAGTGCTAGAATGTGTTTCCACTGGAATTTTTTGTTGATTTAGCTTTAAGGGCTTCACTCCGTGTAATGGGAAATGCACTGTAAATGTGATACAACTGCATGATATCGCAGATTATTATTTTTTATCTCGACACATGTGTATTAATGTTTTTTTATTTTTATTTGTCCATATATACTACCAACCACTAAGAGGAAATGAATAATATAAAATTATTTAGAATACATTTTCAACTATAACAGCATTCTATTGAGTGGAGGTGATGAGGCAGGTATTTTAAATAAGACATAATGCAGAAAATAACATTGCCTCAAGGTCAATTGTGGTGCAGTAATGAGGGCTTGGCTTGGGAAACATTCTTCAAATATTTATTTCTTCATCATCCATTACTCACTCAGGAGGCAGCGCTGTGTTAAGAGACCCTCACTACAGTGAAAATGCATCACAGAGAGCAAAAGGAAGACAGGCATGGCATAGAATGTGAATGTTCTCATGTCCATTCTTGTGGCCGAACGACCCTCCTCACTTGGTATAGAAAAACACTTACTGGTAATGTAAATAGCAAAGCAGCATAAATCAGAGGACACGTGCAGCCTGGGAGAGTATTGTGTAATAGTTATAGCGAAATGAAGTGGCATTGGGATCAATATCCTACTATATCTCACTCTGGCGTAATGGCACAGAAGGAAACTGGGGGCCAGGGGAGTCTGATCCCTCCACCCCACTATGGGCCTATAAATCTGCCCGACCTGCAGACTGCTTATTAAAGTACATACACAATCGACAGCAGCCATCCAAAATAGCAAGCTTACTTACTGACCTGAAGTCAAGGGAATGGATGCCTTTACCTTGTTAAGGAGCGGGGTTACAGATTGATTGGCATTGTCTCATTATCCTGCACAAGGAGGTAAGGGAAAGTTATATTATTTATAACATCGAAATAATTTACTACTGAACATTGAAAATATGTTTTAACTGTTAAAACAACTTAACAGTTAAATATTTTTCCTAAATTAATACTTGTTTTATCTTTTAAGAGACTCATGTCTTTGTTCTTCTAAGTTGAATAAAAATAACTTGTAAATCTTAAATTCATTCCCCATTAAATCATGAATAAAATTTTTTGAGATCCAAAAAATGTGAGGCAAATCTAGGACTGATTTCAAGAATATGAGCAGAACTTGCCTGAAAACATGATTTTCTTAAAAGCAGGTGATGCCTGTAGCATCACCAAGACACAGTTGCTTGAGTGGTGGCCTCATTACTCCTTTCTAAAAGTTTTGCATGTAAGCTCGTACATTCAGCAAACCACATATTTAATAAAATGTTAGGCATGTCCAAGTGGAAGTCTCTTTCAATGAGTCAACTGTGATTCCCTCTGGCTGAATTAATTAAACATGACATTTCAAATTTTAACGTTTAATCAGATTTTTGTGGTCAAGCACCAACAAGCGGTCTGGTTTGCTTTTGACATGCTGGGCTGATGAGTTTGCACGGCGTTTTGTGACAAGATTACGTTGAAACAAAATGTTTATTTAAACAATGTAAATAGACACAAACACATTGTTTCACACTGCCGAAATGTAAATTCAAACTAAACTTTTACTCTTGGAGACAGTTATGATTCTTAACATTTCCCCTGTGTCAAATGCTAGGTCACAATATTTGAGAAATATTTCTATTAATTTATCCACTTTCAGAATTTTTAATAGACCACTTTATTGTTTAAGCCGTATGACTTTGATCAGATATTTTGGGTATACTTCTCTGTGGTAAATTATGCTTTTTACTCTTTCTGGGGGTTGGTTTGCATATTTTGTCAAAGCGTATTCATTTTCAGGACACAGAACTCTTCCTCTTTTTGGCTCGTATGAGGGCTGGACATTTCTATGATGTTTATACTTGCACATATTTGTATATACAGACAAACTGCACACCTTCAACCATCTGGAAAAGAAAATCCAATGTTCTCTTCCTTGGCAGATTTCTTTTGATTTTCCCATAAATAAGGAGAGTTTGAAGTGTGTTTCTTCATGGGACTTAAGCTGCCTTCCAGTTACCTCACAAGTTAGAGCTCAGGAATGGATGTGATATCAGACCTGAGGTAATAATAGCATTCTGATGAAGAAGCTGGAATTTCAACACAGTGATGCTCAAAAACATTGTTCTCAAACATAATTTTAGGATTTACTTTCTATAAGCAAATATCACTATTAATTTGTTGAGGTTAGAGTTGCAGGCGCTTGGTAACATTGATTTTAGGAGCACTTCTTGTCAAATACACATTTTCACCTCATCTTACTGCTGTTGATGCAAGGAGCGGCCATCTTGAAATGTGAAGTTGTGGGTAGTCAAAGTTGTTCCCTGTTTCCCAGTGGGAAATCTGACTTGGAAGGGCATTCCAGTTGATTTTTCTGATGGGAAAGTCTGAATTTTCCTGTTCTGAATGCAGCTGGAATGTGGAATTAACATGTCACAGGCTTACAAAGCCATGACATCACCATCATGTAGGCTTTTTCAAATTGTTTACAATACAGTAATCTGAGGTTATGTCAACTTCTGTCCTTGGATAGGACAGAAGTTGTTTGTTCTCTCATTATTAATGAGCAAATAAAATTAAGTTTGGCTAAGGCACAAATATTTTAGTCTCATTTAATAACAAAAAAAAAGGGATGTGTCTTTTTTTTAAATGAAATGTACTGTATGTTGACACCTGGCTCCAAATTAAATATACAAATTGAATTAAACAATTTGTGTGTTTAATTTAGAAAAAAATGCTATTGGTGTATGACTGCATAAGTATCATTTTTGCAATAACATTCAATGGAAACGGAAAAGAATGCCACTGCATGTTGCAATTTCACCATGTATAGGCTGTTAGTGTGCAGATCGCTTTGTATTCTCGTGAGATGTTTGCGGGTGATCATTCGAGTGGGAGAAGTACATTTTAAACAAGTAAGGGACAGTGCATTGGACTGTCTAAAGTGCTGTAATAAAGTGGTCTAAATAATGAAAATGCCGTCGGTGTATGAAAGACGAGTAGTTTTTGATTTACATTTAGATTTTCTCTGACAAAGATTGTATTTTTAACATAGCTTTTATGTATTTTTTTTGCATAATGTGTTTGTAGATTGTCCTTTTATCAACCTCAGGTTGTAATAACTTTATAAAAAAAGAATACAGAACCTGAAGGCAAAAATAAGTGCAAAATACCAATATAATGGCTGCCTGTGATTTTCCAAATTATTCAGGTTTTATCCATTTATTTATAAGATCTTGTTGAAGCTTAGCACAGCCCTGAGGCAGAAGGATGTTGGCAAAAGGTTGCGAATTGTAATTGTAATAAAATAAAAGGAAAAACAAGAACAATGGTTTACTTTAGTATTATCAGAGATCTTTTTTTTTCAGTAGGTTATTTTGTGAACTGCTGAAGACTGTGGACAGTAAAAAAAAACATGTTTTGTATTTTACAGGATCATGAAGACATCTTTGCCCTGTTTCAGAGGGGGTAAGTGATTCTTTTACACATTTCTTTTTATCACTGGAAATCTTTTTTTCTGTGGAAAATCAGAATGTTCTAACAGGATCTTGAGAAGCAAGATTCCTTGATTTGAATGAAGCAATAATGATTTGGAATGTGAAGTATGAGCGATGCTTCAGAATATTTTAACTAATCCATTCAAAATGTATGAACACATAATCTATATATGTTTTTCTTCTAAATCAAGAAATATTATTTAAGTATCAATACAATGTGAACATCAATTACACTGAACCAGTAATATCTTCTTTTTCTCCTCAAACTTGGACCATTTAATTTATAAATTATTTGGGGTTTTAAAGAAACAAATGGACCATAGGTCAATCTTCTGGTGTCTTACTGGTACCATAGGGTTGACCTTGGGCATGCTAACCGTGCCATGCTATGCTATTTAATAAGTCATTAGACCAGCTGATTATTCATTCATTCAGTTTCGTCAAGTCTTTCCACCTTGTGGTAGCTGTCGGTAAGCACCAACTCCTTTAAGCAATTCATTCCACATCTGAAAATTAATATATGATTTAATGCCTACAAAATAGAGAAAGGCTACATAAAGACATTGAAGCTCTTCCACCATGCAATTTCCACTCTCTGAAATGTCATTAAAATTAGAGGAGATGTGAAAGTCAAGAGAAAAATTCCAAGAAAACTTTCTCATGTAGGTTTATATGGTAGACAGAAAAAGAGTGCAAGACCTGTAGGGACCTGCTGGAAAACATCTGATATGTAGTCTCTGTGTAACACCGATGCATAAATAGCTTCAACGTGGAAGAGCAGAAATAAAAATAATGTAAAAAAACAAAACAAAACAAAAAAACCTACCTGGGACTGGTTCACAAGATTCAGAACTTAACATCTGAATAATTATATTCATTTTGTAAATAATGAATATAATTATTTACCATCTGCTTGACACAGTTTCATATACTGATTCAAAATGAGTCACAGCGGACGCAGCATTGCCAATGCTGTGTACCTTGCTTACTTACAAAACGGAATATGCCAGAAACTCCTCCTCTTTGAAAACACCGAATACCTTTAAAATACATCTAAAAGTGAAACAATAGAAAATGTACAATGTAAAATAACAACCTCAAGACTTAAATTTTAACATCAATCACTTTTACTGTCTTACTTTCTGCTGCTTGTATGTGCATCCAGGATCATATTTCAGGCACATTACTCTTTGTATATCAACAAGTAGCTGAGTTTTTCTTTTTTTTAATTTTTTTGCCATAGTTGCTTGGGAGCAGTACAATAATTTTCTCATCATCTCTTACATGACCAAGTGTGAAATAACTACAAAAGAATTTGTTTGGAAATGGGCGCCACAAATCTGCTCTGAACCTCATAAAGACATGAACTGGCTCTGCCCTGTACTGGTAACCAGACCTTTTCTGTTACAGTTCTCCAGCAAAACAGTACATTAATTACATCTACAAAATCAAAATGAGTTTTATAGTACTGATGAAATTTTATTTTTATCTGCTGACAATATGAGTGGCAACACATTATAAAATAATGTGATGCTTTATTAAATAAAAAAAAATTTAAAAAAAATTCCCTTCTCACCCACCGCGGGTGGTTCTTATCCTCTGAGCTCGGGTCCTCTACCAGAGGCCTGGGAGCTTGAGGGTTCTGCGCAGTATCTTGGCTGTGCCAAGGACTGCACATTTCTGGACTGAGATGTCTGATGTTGTTCCTGGGATCTGTTGTAGCCACAGCTCTAGTTTGGGGGTTACTGCCCCGAGGGCCCCGATGACCACAGGCACCACTGTGGTCCTCACCTTCCAGGCCCTCTCCAGTTCCTCCCTGAGGCCCTGGTATTTCTCTAGTTTTCTCGTGCTCCTTTTTCCTGATGTTGCAATCACTTGGTATTGCTACATCTACCACAACAGCTTTCCTCTGATTTTTATCCACTACGACAATGTCTGGTTGGTTCGCCATTACCATTTTGTCTGTCTGGATCTGGAAGTCCCACAGGATCTTAGCTCTGGTGTTCTCTACCACCTTTGGGGGTGTTTCCCACTTTGATCTCGGGGTTTCCAGTCCATATTCTGCACAGATGTTTCTGTACACTATACCTGCCACTTGGTTATGTCGCTCCATGTACGCGTTCCCTCCAAGTATCTGCACCCTGCTGTGATGTGCTGGCCTGTCTCAGGGGCCTCCTTGCACAACCTACACCTTGGTTCTTGTCTGGTGTGGTAGATCTGGGCCTCTATTGCTCTGGTGTTTAGGGCCTGTTCCTGGGCGGCCAGGATGAGGGCCTCTGTGCTGTCCTTGAGTCCAGCTTTTTCCAGCCATTGGTAGGATTTACTGATATCAGCCACTTGGGTTATTTGCTGGTGGTACATCCCATGTAGGGCTTGTCCTCCCATGATGGTATCTCTGGCACCTCAACCTCCGTTCCCTGTTGTCTGAGACATTCACTGAGTACATTGTCTGTTGAGGCTTTGTCCCTGATGTATTTATGGATCTTAGTTGTTTCGTCCTGGACAGTGGTTCTCACACTCACTAGTCCCCTTGCGGCTCGTGTACAGTCTCAGGGTGCTGGATTTGGGATGGAACCCTCCATGCATGGTTAGTAGCTTTCTAGTCTTAATATCTGTGGCTTTTATCTCCTCCTTTGGCCAGCTAATTATTCCAGCAGGGTATCTGATTACTGGCAAGGCATAGCTGTTTATCTCACGGATTTTGTTCTTGCCATTGAGCTGGCTTCTCAGGACTTGCCGTATTCGTTGGAGGTATTTAGCTGTGGCTCCTTTCCTTGTGGCCTCATCGAGGTTGCCATTTGCTTGTGGTATACCTAGGTACTTGTAACTGTCCTCTATGTCTGCTATTGTTCCTTGTGGAGTGAGACTCCTTCTGTGCGGATCACCTTCCCCCTCTTTGTGATCAGCCGACCACACTTCTCTAGTCCGAATGACATCCCAATGTCAGTGCTGTAGATCCTGGTGGTGTGGATCAGTGAGTCGATGTCTCGCTCATTCTTGGCATACAGCTTGATGTCATCCATGTAGAGGAGGTGACTGATGTTGGCCCCATTTTGAGTCGGTATCCGTAGCCAGTCTTGTTGATAATTTGGCTGAGGGGGTTCAGGCCTATGCAGAACAGTAGCGGGGACAGAGCATCTCCTTGGTATATGCCACATTTGATGGACACTTGTGCAAGTGGTTTGCAGTTAGCTTCAAGGGTGGTTTTCCACAGCTTCATCGAGTTTGCAATGAAGGCTCTCAGAATCCTGTTGATGTTATACATCTGTAGGCATTCAATGATCCAAGTATGCGGCATTGAGTCATAGGCTTTCTTGTAATCGATCCAAGCCATGCACAGGTTGGTGTGTCGGGTTTTGCAGTCTCGGGCAACTGTGCGGTCTATGAGGAGTTGGTGTTTGGCTCCTCTGGTATTTACACCGATACCCTTCCGTGCCGTGCTCATGTGTTTTTCCATGTGTTTGCTTATCTTGGCCGCTATGATGCCTGACATGAGCTTCCAGGTTGTGGAGAGGCAGGTTATTGGTCGGTAGTTGGGTGGGACTGGACCCTTTGATGGATCCTTCTGGATTAGGATTGTCCGCCCTTCAGTTAACCATTCAGGGTGAGTCCCACTTTGTAGCAGCTGGTTCATTTGGGCTGCCAGTTGCTCATGGAGAGCAGTGAGTTTCTTTAGCCAGTAGGCATGGATCATGTCAGGCCCTGGTGCTGTCCAATTTTCATGCCTGAGAGTCTTTCTTGAACATCTGTCACAGTGATGGTTACTGGGGCTTGCTCAGGGAGGTTGCTGTGGTCCTCTCGTAGAGAGATCAGCCACTGTGCATTGCTGTTGTGGGACGCCTCCCTTTCCCATATGCCTTTCCAGTATTGTTCAGTCTCCAGCCTTGGTGGGTCTGCTCTGTTGTTATTACCCTGCCATTGAGAGTACACCTTAGCTGGTTGAGTGGAGAAGAGCCGGTTAATCCTTCTGGATTCATTCTCCCTTGTGTATCTCTTTAGGTGGCTGGCCAAGGCTTGGAGCCTCTGTTTGGCAGTCTCGAGTGCTTCAGGTATGGGCATCTGGCTGTACTTTCTGGGTACTGGTCTTTTCCTTGTTACCTTGATTTTAGCCTCTAACCGTCTTTTCCATGGTGGGTATTGGGTCTCATGGTTGCTCTTATAGCCAAGTATCTCAAGGATCACTAATGCTGAGTTGTAGATCAGCTCATTGGTTTCTGTTATGGTGTTGGTAGGGATCGTTCTCAATGCTGCATTCACATTCTCAATGAGACTTTCTGATGGTACTTCACTCAGCGTTGTAATTGGCGCCGAGGAGGCCTGGTTGTCATTCGGGTCATGATTCTCTCTCTCAGGTCGCTCATTGGGGCCGTGTATCCCTCACTGGGTGGGGACTTGTAGTTAAGTCCCCACAGTTCTGACATCCGGGTTCCTCCCTTTTGCCGTAGCATTTGTGTTGTATCTCGTCAATCTCAAGTTGTGATAGCAGTTGCCGTTTGCGGATGTTGGAACACTGAGCTACTAGTTGTTTAGCACTTAGTGTTGACTGGGGATGTCGAAGTAACCATTCCTTCCCCAGTCTTTGCATGTAACCCCTCTGACTAGGGTTACTTGAGTAGTAGTATTCCAACAGATCCACATTTTCATCTCTCGCCCATTTCCGTCTTGTTCCAGTAGCCCATTTGTCATCAAGGTGCTCTGGTTCCCCAACACCTGACGCAGACCTTGTTTGGCCGGGCGACGTCTGAGCCGGCATGTTATGCAACTTAGTATCTCTCATGGTATGAGGTAGGCAGTAGCTTGAAGGGTCTTGCCTAAGGACCCAGACTGGATTCGAACCCTGCCCTCTTGGGTGATATACTGATGCCTTATGTATTGAGCTATCCAGTCAGCCCTGTACTGGTAACCAGACCTTTTCTGTTACAGTTCTCCAGCAAAACAGTACATTAATTACATCTACAAAATCAAAATGAG